GAGAGGGAACACAAGCAGGGGGAGTGGGAGAGGGAGAAGCAGGCTTCCTGCCGAGCAGAGAGCCCGATGCGGGGCTCGATCCCAGGACCCTGGGACCATGACCTGAGCCGAAAGCAGACGCTTAACGACTGAGCCACCCAGGTTCCCTTATCCTTTGATTTTTAAGTAAACTCGCCCAACGTGGGGCTCAAACTCATGACCCCAAGACCAAGAGTCACATGCTCTACTGACTGAGCAGCCAGGTGCCCCTCATTGCTGTTATCTCTTAAGTTTACACCTAGGATTTGCTGCTTATGTGGAACTACGTAGTTCCTCAGAGTATCATATTCTCTTGGCAATTCTAAGCATTTATATGTGACTTTATAACCATATTCGCTTTATAACCCATGCAGCAACCTACCTTTTAAGTACCCCAAAACACTGAGATTAACTACAAAAAACTGTAATATCATTCATATTATGAGGGATTCCTTATAAAAATTCCCCTTAATTTTATGAATAAGAGACAGTTAAGAATAATATTTTACTTTCTCCCTCTCTTTGATTCCTTTACTGTTTTGAAACAGCAACTGCAGTTACTCTTGAGGGTCCCCTGCAGACTTTAACATTATCAGCCTGAAGCAGAATGAGTCGGTTATGATATATCCTGGCATACTGTTCTTCCCTTAAGAACTATTTCCATAAAGTGCTTAATCTTTCCTAAGGATAAATTAAACATGTATCCGGCTGAGGTGAAGGAAGCTAATAATTATTCTTTCCTCTCTTCTGCTCTAGCTGCCTCTCTTCCTGTGTTTTCCCAAATCTCTCTGAAGGGAAAGGGAAACTGAATATAAACTGTCTCTCAATCACTCAAAAGTCGTTTTCCTTTTTTTCCTTCAATCATGCACTGTTTTTGAAAAGCCTTATTTTACTGCAAGGTACCCCATGAAGAGCAGAAGAAATAGAGATGTTTTAGGATTAAGAGGTGATTTATGTATCTTTAAGTAAATCTCCTTTTAGTAAATGGAGGTGCATTTCATAGATGCTGATATTTTTTAATGTAAGAGTATAGAACAGGGGCATCTGGGTGGCTCAGTTAGTTAAGTATATGCCTTTGGCTCAGGTCATGATCCCAGGGTCCTGGAATCGTGTCCCACATCGGGCTCCCTGCTCAGCGGGAAGCCTGCTTCTCCCTCTCCCTCTGCTTGCCGCTCCCCCTGCTTGTGCTCTCTCTCTCTGACAAATAAATAAAACCTTTTAAGAGTATAGAATAGAAATCAGCTCAAAACTGCTATCAGAAGACATTAGTATTAACTCTGATTTATAAGCAAACTGTATTTGGCTTCTTGAATAATACTATATTTTAGGGGCTATATGTATGGGTTTTTATTATAGAAATTTTCAAACACACAAGAGTAGAGCTGATAGTATGATAATGAATCTTCCTATGTCTTTTACCCAGCATATAGGGGCTTATGACATGAGTTACCTAATAAGCTACATGTGATTAGATTTTCCTCTGTTTTTAAGAAAAACAAATTGTCAGTTTAGTTTTTTCCAAGATTTAAATGATTTATTTGGTTTAAATACACTATCCCATTTTAGAAATGGGAATAAACCCATTTGTGGCTTCTTCAGGCATACCATGGTAGTGGTTTATAGATTATTTTAAGTGGAAAAGCACCTTATAATTCAGTGGATTTCTTTCTCTTATTAGAGTATTTTTGGTGTCTTCCTCAAGGTCAGATGAGTAGTAAAGGTGAAGCCTGGGTTTGAACCTAACTTCTTGCTAAGTCCAAAGTTCTAAACATACTAGTTAGTTACTCTTAGCAGTGCATGATTTGAAATGAGAATGTTTATCTACCTCAAAAAATAAAAGATATAAAATGCTGGAAACATCTTAAAAACTTTGGAAAATCTCTTGTTCATTATTTATTTAGTAGACAATACATTTTTTTTAAAGTAACGTCTTTGGATCCCTTAAATAGTGAATTTGTCAAAATTAATCTAAAAATTTTTTTAATTGTATTATGGATTCCTGAAGTTATCAGAGGCTAAAACAGAAGAGCCTCCAGTGCATGCTAATGAAACTGCAAAAATGAAGAATTCCCAAGGAGATGGTGAACATTTTGCACACCCACCCTCAGGTACTGAACTTTCTCTAACAAGATGGATAGATAAACATCATAAAGAGTGTGTTACTTTCTCATACCTACTTAACCTTCAAAACCCCTGGGAGGGAGTGTTGAGTGGCCATTGGTCTTTAAAATTCTTTTTTAATTTAGCTGTGGAGGTTGCAGGTAGGAAATACTCAGCTGACAGAGAGGGTGTAGTCCCCAGATTTCTAAGTGAAGCCTGGAACCCAGCAGCGAGTGAAATTTCCTTGAGGGAGCCACCAAGGCCGCAGCCTTCAAGATATGCTCCCGTCGCATTTGTGTTCTCTTCCTTGACCACAGTTATATAGTGTTTGTGAGTTAGAAGCAGAACTTGGAAAGGTAATATTAAGTTATTTTCCTAATGAATTAAAGCATAACTAGGAAACAAAAAGTAGCCAGTTTATCCAGATGTTTAGTCGGGAAATATTGAAACTAAAATTGATGAGAATCCTTGTGGATGGATTTGTACAATATATGGCAAAGTCATTTTTAATATATTCTGATTTTCTTTATAAGAAAACAAGTAACTCGGAAACAGAAGTTGAGTCATGATCATGAATTCAGTTCATTTTATCACGCATTTCTCTGGTTTTAAATAAATGTCCTTTTCTCATTTAAAAAAAAGCCACACAACTGTGAGGTAGATATGATCTTTATTTTTATGTTTATTATTTTTGTTTTAGAAAAAATTCAAGGAAGTTGAGTGACTTGTCTAAAACCACTGAGCTTTTAAGTGGTAAAACTGTAACTTACTTGGTCTTCTGCCTCCAAAATCTTGTGTTCTTTACACTTTAGAAGAATTTTTATAATTGAGATAAGATGGGTTTGATGTTTACCCATTTATTTTAAGGAACTGTACTCTTAGTTGATAAAACAATGGGGCATATGAAACAGAAGCAGGTTTATGAAATTACCTTGCTTCTTTCTTCCTAGCAAATTTAACCATTGTTCTTTTTTCATAATCAGATTCTAGGTAGAATAACTTCATCTGAATTATATTTATGAAAGCACCTGCTTTAGATTTGTCTGAGCTCTTTTTTAATTTGCTGGCCCAGATTTAGCTTTCTGTTTTGTACAGACCTAAGTACACACGTTTCAGTCTTGTGTCTGACATAATTTGAATACATTTGCTTTGTCTAGTTCCTTATCTGGCTATTAAGTGAAGTTAAACTTAACCTCAAACCACATATAACTCAGATATGCACATAAGTGGCACAGAACAAATGGCAGATAATTTCTAAAGTAATGACTTTAGTTTTCAAAAACTGTTCTATTTTTTAAAAATGAGTATATCTGATATTCCAGGAAATCATTTCATGCACAGTGATGGAAGTCCCTTTTGAAAACCTAATTTGGGAAGTGATTTCAAAAAGGAGTCTGACTTCCTTTTTAATTCCTTTTTTTTCCCATGTTTTTCCTTGGTTCCTGCTAGAAATGGATGGCATCTGTTCTCAGACTGATGCAAAGAGTTGCCAGAGATAAGATGATCTTTCTTTAAGCTTCCTGGTTTTCTAATTGTGTATTCCTAGAAATCAGAGAAGCTAAGTATTTTGGTTTCAAGTACTTTCCTCTCTAGGTGTGAGTCAGAACGTACGAGGTGTTCATAACTAACAAACTCCAGGCAAGAACTATCCAGAACATGTACATGAATGGAATATAAATGCTTATGTGCCTAGGATCCCCCTCCTCAGAAATGAATGGAATTGTCCCTTCTTCAGCAATGTGCTTCCATATCTGGGGCTAAGCCTACCTCTGTGTAAAGTCACCATCAGTAAGAATGGCATGTTTAACTCTTGTTTGCAGCAACCAACTTGCTTGAGCGTTGTTTTTATTTCTAAGTTCTGTAGCTCCCTGTCTAGGCTGATGGGAGGTTAGCTACAGCCTCATCTTTTCTATGAAGACTTTCCTTACTGTCCAAGAGCCTGAAGAGCATTTCTTCTTCCAGCCTCCCTGGCACTGCCATCAGGACACTTACTCCATGCTAAAGCAGTGGTCCTTTGGCAAGTTTTTTGCTCATGCAGAGTTTTATTTCCGGTTTTACTGTGCTATCAAGATTTTTAAACATTCTGAGACATGTATATCATGTTCGCCCATCCTGCTTTTAGTTCTTGCTATCGTTTTTATCTGAGTCTTTTCTTGTCTCACTCTGCTGTCTTTCATAGTTCATGTACTTACCCTGAAAATGTTTTATCTTAAAAAAAAAATCACCTTCTTATAATAAAAAATGGCTCAGAAGAGCAATTAGCATGTTAATCTTGTCTCTTAGCACAGTCACCAAAGAACTGGAAAATATTGAGTGCTCTGTTATATCTGCTTCTAAGCTCTACTCGACTTTAAAATCTTTACATTTTCTTACAGTGTTAGTAGGTTTATTCAAGTTACCTTCAGTATGTATTACAAACAAAAATTATTGGTATTATTGGCATTTACTTGTCCAGTACAAAAAATTGTAGCTTTAACTTCACTGTTCTGAAAATATAGGGTCATTTACAGTTTCTTCTGTAAGCGAAAGTTTGACAACCAATTACACTAACAGTAAGGGATTTTAGTGTCCTGTTTGTTTAGTTTATGTGGCAACCTTGTATTATAGTGTAGTGTAGTTCTACTCTTTAGACAAGAATTAGACTTCTTGTAGCTATAGTGCCAAACAGCAGGAGCTTGGTGTTTGTTGAAATGTCATTATTCATGAGTAGCAGTAGTTCAAGCTCCTTGAGGACAGAGACCATGTTTATTGTTCTCACCCAGTGCTTGAAACAATATAGACATTGAATCAGTGTGTGTTGATTGAAAGTGAGGAAAAAAAAAAAAGACAGTGAGAAAAAAAACACTAGGCATTTTGGTGAACCAACCTAATACTTAATATTTCTTATAATATTCTAATTGGTCTCTGTCTAATTACTGCCAGAAGTTAAAGTGCATTTTGCTAATCAGTCAGTACAACCTTTGGCAAGAAAGCTGGAAATGCTTCCTGAAACTTCCTCCTTCCCACAAAAAGGCCTGAAGATTCCTGGCTTACAACATGCAAGCATTGAAGGACCAATAGCAGTAAGTAAAAAACATTACTTTTTAAGAACTATGAACAAAATGACAAAGTACTGGGAACAAACAATGTAAACAGGCATACACTTGGCTTTTGTTATTACAAATTTTGAGTTGAATCAGCCAGTGGTTATCTGTGCCGCTTATTATGTGGACTTGAATTTAAATAGTTCCTTCTCTTTTTTGACTCAGAATTTATCAACACTTGGAACAGAAGAGCTCCGACAACGCGAGCGCTACCTCAAGCAGAAGAGAGATAAATTGATGTCCATGAGAAAGGATATGAGGACTAAGCAGATACAGAATTCCGAGCAGAAAGGAAAACCTGCTGGGGAGGTGGAGGTATGGCTAGCTTTAGTGTGTCAAACTTTGCAAATCTAGAGGTGGAATTGTCAAAATCCGAATGTGTGCAAGACAGCCTTGATAATGAATGTCGCTTGTAGATGCAGTCCTATTAACCTCCCTGTTAGTGTAGCACCTGTTTTTTCTAGGCAGTGAGGTGGTTATGATACGAAGATTATGAGGTTGAAATGATAGCGGTCTCATTATACATTTTTTTCTTTACTTGCCCTGCTCTGAGTGCTTAAGGGTCAGCAGTCTATTTTACCTAAGCCCTTTGAGATATTTTATCCACAAAGCAGCAACAGTACCCTTGCCACCACCTCCAAGAGGCTTTCTTCTCTAAGAAGAGATTTTTGCAAAGAAGAGATTTAGGGAGCCCAGTCCACATGTGGCTTTTTACATTTTTATTTACTGAAAATGCTCTTTGAGGCAGTATGTTGGGAATTTTAGACAAATGAACCCATCTTACACTATAGCCAATTTTTTTCCTGTTTTTTTTTTTGTTTTGTTTTTTGTTTTTTTAAGGAAATGACAGAGAAACAAGAAATGACAGCAGAGGAGAAGCAAACATTACTAAAGAGGAGATTGCTTGCAGAGAAACTTAAAGAAGAAGTTATTAATAAGTAATTTTAAAAACAATTTAGCAAAACAGAAGTTCAAATTTTCTTAAAAATAAATTATTTAATCCTTAAACTGAGCCTGTTAGTTTCAAATACTTGTGTTTGTAAATGCAAATATAAGCTCATTCTTAATACTTTATTAAACTTTTGAGGTAAAGGGTGGTGGGGAAGACAGCTACTTGGGCTGAGAAAGGGTATAGAAACGCGATCGTGCATTTATTCATTCCAACTTGGTTACTATTGTTTATGCTAAGCACTGTGCTAGGTACCAAGGATACAGTTGTCAACTAGATCATCAGGGTCCCTGCCTTCATGGGGCTAGCGAAGAAGGCCCGAAGAGCCAAGTGTACAGAGGGAAAAATGCAGTATTATCAGCAGGGCTGGCCAAGCCTTCTTGAGAAAGCCATACTTAAGCTGATTGGAAGGCTAGTTGCAGGGAGAAATGGGAAGGACCAACTCAGGTCCTACCACAGGAAAGGCAGCTAGTGAGGAGTGGGCAGTATGGTGTGTATACACAGAATCAGGGCAGAAGGCTGGCTATGAAATTGGGAGATAGGCGGGGTACTGATTTGCAGGGCCCTGTAGGAAATGTGAGGATTTTAAATTTTATTATGGCAGTAGGAACTCACTGCAAAGTTTTAAAGCAGGGAAGTTACATTATCAAAACGTTCAGCTAAAAAAAAAAATGTGTGGCTGCTATATGGAGATGGGGTGAGTTAGAGTTGTTGTGGGTATACCAAGTATAAGGAAATCCAACCAGAAGACGTTATCCTGGGCAGAAGCAAACAGCAGTTGGAAAATGGATGAGGGATGTTAAAAATACTCAATTACTCTTTCTAGAAAGGCTACCATTAAAAAAGATAAAGGGAACAGTCAACTCCTGAGGGGAATGCAGCCATGGGTGTAGGCCTTTTTTATGTGAAATGGTCCTGGATGGTTTTCTGTGGTTGTTTGCTTACAGATCAGGAGAAAAGATCCCATGTCCAGAACCAGAATAGTAGGAGAGACCCTTCTTTCAGAAAACTTCCTGTATTGTGTCTTCCAGCAAGCACCCCTTTTCTAGTTACAGGTTGCTCCTGAGGTTTAATTTATAATTCCATTTTATCTCTCTAAATCTACAGTTACAAACTTTTAAAAAAAGGGATACCAAAATTTGTTTAGCTCCAGTCTTCAACCTGCAGAGAAAAACCATCATTACTTTACATTTGTTACATTTTCATCACTTAGATGGACAAGAGGAAAAACTAGTGATTAAAACACAGAAATCTGTTTCATGTAACTTTTTATTAAAAATAGTTTTTATAGTGGATACATGTTTACAGATATAATTTTAAGAGAACCTCAGGCATACAAATGTGGGCTCTGGCTTGGTTCACTGAGTGATGATAGAGATATAAAAATCCTGATCTGCCTGAGGGTAGTCATTAAGACAGCAGCTAACATGTGGAAACTTAATAGTTATTCTTTCAAGGGATATTTTAAGCCCTGTTTTTATATCATTGTGGGTGAGCATATGTACCATGAAAACTGTTATCCTGTAAGTCAACAAAACACTCACATTTCTGCAGTAAGAAAGGTTCCTAGATGATGATGATTTAAATGTTTGACTCCTGGCAATTCTTCAGAAAGGAAAATTAAACTCTTCATAAGGTATAAAGATAATACTTCCTACTGGAACTTTAAAATTACTTAATCAGGAAGAGTCAAGAGTAAATAGGGAAATGCTTTAGGCCTGGGCTTCTTAGATGACAAGAAGAAATTAAGAGCTAAGAAGAGTGAAAGGGGCTTCACAGACTTGCTTGAAAAAAACTGTATTCAGATGGTAACTTTACTGATCTTAGTTTAAATTAGGGTATCCTGAGGCACTTGCCTTATAAAGTGGGAGGTCTTTTTCATTATATGTACTTTTAATCAAAGAGGTGAGACTAGCCCCATGCTGTGATGTTTTGGTGTTGAGACTTCATTTGCCCAAGGCACACCTTCTGTAAGTACAATCAGTAATTCTTAAAGTGCAGTCAACCTTCGTTTGCTTATTATTACTTCATTCAGACTGGTGTAGGACTTAGTGGTTTATAATAAATATCTATGGATAATTTATTGGCTTTTAAAAGATACTATAAAATGGAACAAATCTCAAAATGGAGATAACTTATATTTACAACAAACCAAACAAAAGCAACAATCATAGAATTACAGGGTCACATTTTAATTCCTGAATTTTACAGTTCAGCATTAATATCACCACATGTATACAAATGGTGTAAAACAAGTACAGTGGTATTTTTAATACAAAATAAACATCTGTTTTATGGAAAAACTATACTTCATATCTACACAGACAGCCCATCTTTTCCAAACAATAGCCAAAATTAAAATTAACTACAAAATCTCCAAAACAGGGGAAACTGCTTCAGTTTAAGCTATTCCAGGAAAAATGGACCCATAACACATTACAAGGGTGATCTGAAGACTGTAGCTGGGATTCCTGTTTTTAGTTTTTTTTTTTTTCCCAATGCATTAAATTGTAGTTTGGAGGATGTTTTTCTCACTTCAGCATGATCTCAGATCACAGATGAGCAAACAAACATTAAAAATATTTACAGTTAACTTGCTGTTCTAAAAATAAAACCTCTTAACTGTTTGCCTCAACTTATTTTAAATTCATTTACGTACATGGAATGTGCTTTTACTCTTTAAAAAAAGCAGCTTTCATATTACACCCTTGTTTGTTTATGGGAAAACTTCATGTGCTGCATACTGACTTTGATACTGAAGTAACTTCTTGGATCAAAATGGCCTCTAGATATTAAATGCCACTTAATTCAGCACTAGTCTTTGTATGTGAGTCTTTATAAATTATACTTTAAAACTTGCTTGCAGCTCTAGAGAGAGAGACAACTTTATGAACAAAGCAGAAAGTGACTTCAAAGTATCTTGCATAAAAGATTGTACGTACTACTGGGAGACACCTGGAAACATTCCGTTCAATCCACTCCCAAGTTTCTAGAGAAAATCATTTCAAAATACTCATGTACTGATTCTTGGCATCAGTTATCTCTAAGAGTGCTGTAAAGTTATATTAACAAGACTGTCCATTTTGAATCCAGCTTGTTTGTTTTCATCAAAATACATACTGAAAATTTCTGGTGTAGAAAACTCAACATGTACTGTAACACAGAGTGTACTTCCCTCTAACTACCTATAAGGCTGAATTTCTGTTAAATCTTCAAAAAATGGTCCCAAAAGCATAACTTCATTTTTACGATAGTTAAATTTGGTTTTCATAAAAAATTTTTTTAAAAAGAGGCAACTGATTAAAAGAACAACATGGCCAGCACCATTATACAAGTAATGTTATTGGGTTTGTAACTAAAGTTTTGTAATTGCTTCTAGATCAGATACCCCCCTGGAGCAACCCTGCATTTAATATTGTTTTATCAACCTTGTTCCCTCCCCCAAGCCATCCCCAAACCTGAGAGTCTCCTCATGAAGAAGCTATCTCCCAGGTTCTGGTTACTAACTTTTTTTTTTTTTTTTTTTTTGACAGCCTGAAAGGCAAACCCCTTAATTACTAGCAAGCAGTCAAGTTCCTGGGAAGCCTGGTTTTTTACAGAACTAAACTCTCCTAGCTGATATACTGAGTATCTTTTGCTACTCCTTGTATATTTATAAGTTCAAGTGAGAAAGCTTTCTGATTCAGATTTTCAGCTCATTGAACAGTTGCAGCATTTTAGTAAGACCACGCGTTGAGGGTCCTCACTAAATATTTTATGAGCCAAGACGAGGTCTTTTCCTGGGAGCTGTTTCTTCTTCTTCGTCTTCCTCTTCATCATCTGGATAATCCACTAAACCCACCAAACTTCCCTATTGAAGAAGAATAAGAATTTTTTAACATATGTAACTTCAGGGGAAAAAAAACTTACTAGTATCAATAGTCACTTTTAAAGACATCACAAATAACTTTTCTAAACTATCTAATCATATTTATCTCAGATACATTTGAATTTGATAAAGGAACTGCTTGAAAATTATGAACACTTGGTACCATTGGTGGCACTCTAAGTTACCTTCAACTTTTCTATTCAGCTCTTGGATTTTTAACAATACCTCACAATTTAATTCAATTCAGCAAAATTTCACTGTGGAAAAATGTATCTCCAAACAGCAGGACTCAAAAATCATCATGACACGGGGAGCTGGAAGGACTGTGGAAATGAACTAGTTCATTTCTCTATGTTTAAACTAGAAAGAGTAGTCAGTCAGCGACAAGAAGCCTCCTTTTGTCTCCATACTTCATGTATGTATTTCATTACTAAGTGCATACCATTGTTTTCATTATGCTTTTGATAATAATAAACAAATGAAATACTTCCTAAAACTAACAACTAAAAAATTTAGGGCTACCTCTCTAACTAAAAGGAAAGTAAGGATGAGGTAATTCAGGTGTTCGGCCCTTTATGAGTCATGGACCCCTTTAAAAACCTATTAAGGCTCTGGATACTACCCAGGAAATTAAATGTCCTCAGGTTTGCACTCATTTTGAATCCGTCCCATAAGTCATAAGTTTATACATATGACCCCACAGGTTAAGAGCACTACTGTAAACACTGGATTTAGTTCAAACCCTTCAGACCTCAAGGGGAAAAACAAATACAACTGAAATAACTCATATTTCAAAGTTAAGTAGCTTCATATCTAAAGAATCCAGACATCTGGCAGTAACACTTGGCCAATATATAACTGAACCACTGTAATATCAACAAAGGCCACTGAGCAACTAGAAACCATTATCAGAAAGTCTGGGAATTAAATCAAACTTATTTATACCACATATACTTATGGGAGAATCCTGCTTTCTCAGCTTAATAACACACAAATCTTAAGTTTGGTAAGAGGCAGTATGGCTAAATTGGTAAGAATGTATTGATTGTAGTCTGCCTAACTTCAAATTGCAATGCCACAATTTTTAAGTGTATGACTGTGGGCTAGTGATTTAGTATCTCTATGCCTCATTTTCCTTATCTTAAAATTAGTATAATAGTACTTAGATCTCAGTGAACTATTATGAAAATAAAATG